GATACAAACAAATTATTAAAGTGAAGGAAGGCGTTGTTTGTTTATTAGATTGTTTTTGTGACGATCAGCTGATCAGGAGTTTAACAATGATGATGATGATGGTGAAGTTTAATGTACAGTAAAATTTTAGTGTCAGATTCTTCTTCTGTTCTCAGATATTGACAWATATCAGGCTGTAACTCCTTCATCGCAGGTTTATTTACCGTATTTGTTTTTCTCCTCCAGATTGAGTTTCACTTCAGTTCATCTAAATATTATTATTATTTTGAAGTTTTCCTGAGATTAATGGGAAATAAAGCAGTTAAATGGAGCTTCATCAGTTTGTACTTGAACCTCAGCTGGTTCTGAAACATCATCAGATGACAGGATTAAATCTGAGCCGTAATAAAGCTCAGAATGTCTTCAGTAATACTCAGCCTGCTGTCTCATAAATAAGACTAATGAAAGCCACCAGTTACCAGCCTGAGAAGAGTTTATGTAATTGTTTCATTTACTGTTTGGCACGACATGCATCTGAAAAAAAAAACATAAATAAAAAAAGGCCGAGCATCATTATGTTGCTCTTTATGGACTRGGAGAGTTTGTAATGTGGTCATGTGTGGTTTGTTGTTTCTTTCAGCCAYGTTTCCTCACTCGGCTTTTCCTCCCATCATCACTTTCAGGAACAAAGTCCCTGGAAAAGTTTCAGCTGGAAAAGCTGCTGATAAAGGAGCAAATGCTTAAATGTATGGTCAAGTGTTTCCCGCCTCTTTGGCCTTAAATTTTAGTTTATTTCAATTTTTTGATAATTCAGGTAGTAAAACTGGGGTCATTGCAACACTCCACAGTACAATGCCTGCACTAATTCTGTATTTGCTTAAATTGGTTTTAAAAGACTGACTGTCATTATTAACACTGGGAAAACATATTTACCAGGGAACATAGGTACCAGAGAACGTACCATGAAACCTACCAGGGAACATAAGAACCAGAGAACATACCATGAAACCTACCAGGAAGCATAGGTACCAGGGAACATAACAGGGAACATACAGTTACCAGGAAACCTACAAGGGAGCATATTGGGATGTACCAGGGAACATAGGTACCAGGGAATGTACCAGGGGACATAGGTACGAGGGAATGTACCAGGGAACATAGGTACCAGGGAACATAGGTATGAGGGAATGTACCAGGGAACATAGGTATGAGGGAATGTACCAGGGAACATAGGTACGAGGGAATGTACCAGGGAACATAGGTACCAGAGAACATAGATACGAGGGAATGTACCAGGGAACATAGGTATGAGGGAATGTAGCAGGGAACATGGGTACGAGGGAATGTACAGTATGTACTAGGGAACATACCAGGGAACATAGGTACTGAAATATGGTTTGGGGTTAGGGTCAGTCAAGATCCACCATGTCAAGATTTATCAAAGAAAATCTGATCCAGATTGAAAAATGCCATT